AACCATTTGTAACTCCAGTATCAGGGGATATGATGCCCCCTTCTGGTCATCTCAGGCAATGCACAAATGTGTTGCATGGACAGAACTATATAGTTCAGTGTTTCTCAACCTTCCTAATTCTGCAACACTTTAATACAGTTCCTCATGTTGTTGTGACCCTCAACCACAAAATTATTTTCGTTGCTATTTAATAACTGTAATTTTGCTACTGTTATGAAACGTAATGTAAATCTGTGTTTTCTGATGGTCTTAGGTGACCCCAGGGAAAGGGTTGTTTGACCCTTCCTCACAATGGTCACGATACACAGGTTGAGAACCACTAGCTTAGAAGTTAAGAGCACTTGTTACTCTTGCAGAAAACTTGGGCTTGAGTCCCAGCACCCAGATGGTTCCATAACCCCAGTTCCAGGGAATCCAACAAGCATGTACATGGTACCCAAACACTCATGCATGCAAAACATTCATATGCATAAAGTAAAATAACTAAATCTTTTAAAAAATTTTAAAAGGGGGGGGTGCTGAAGAGATGGCGCAACAGTTAATAGCATTTGTTGCTCTTGCAGAGGACCTGGGTTCAGTTCCCAGATCCATATATGGTGGCTTACAACACCTATAATTCCAATTCCGGGAAATCTGATGACCTCTTCTGACCTCCTGGGGCACCAGACATGCACGCAGTACACATACCTACAGTACACATACTTGCATGTAGGCAAAACAGTCATACACATAAGATAAAATGAATAAATATTTTAAATTTTTTTACTACTTAATAGCTTAGAGCAGGTGGGATGGCTTAACGGGCAAGGGCACTTGCTGCCAGGTTTGATACCCAGGACCCGAACAGTAGAAGGAGAGACTAACGCCTACAAATTGTGCTCTGGCCTCGACACGTGCCTTGGCACATGCCCGCGCCATGCCCCATCTACAGACACTAAATAAATAATAAATAAATAAATAAATAAATAAATAAATAAATAAATAAATAAATAAATAAATAAACGTAATAAAAAATAAATAGGGATAGAATGATGGCTTAGTGGCTAAGAGAACTGGCTGCTCTTCCAGAGGAGATGGACTCAGTTCTTGGCACCACACAGTGATTCACAGCTGTCTGCAACTCCAGTTTCAGGGGGTTAGATACCCTCTCCTGGCCTCTTCGGGAGTCAGGCACACAAGTGGTGCATTGATACACACGTGAGCACATCAGGATCAAGACTGCTTTTACTTCCTCTCAAGGAAGCATGTGCGAGACACACACACACACACACACACACACACACACACACCTCTTTTCTACTGTTGTTTCTCGAGTTGTGACCAGACAAGACAACAATATCTATTCTGAATGCCTTACCAGTTCACATTTAAGTGTTTGAAGGAACTGCAAAAGGGTGTTGTGGGATGCTTCCTTTCATCAGAGTAACATCTTGATGTAGAAACAACTTTATCTCCAGAGCAGTAAGTGTCCAAATTGTCTGTCAATAAAAAACATTACACAATGACATCAGATACTGACGATCTCATTCTGGCCTCCTAACAGTAAGACACCAAAATCGCCGGGCGGTGGTGGCGCACGCCTTTAATCCCAGCACTCAGGAGGCAGAGCCAGGCGGATCGCTGTGAGTTCTGGGCCAGCCTGGTCTACAGAGCAAGATCCAGGAAAGGCGCAAAGCTACACAGAGAAACCCTGTCTTGAAAAAAAAAAAAAAAAAAAAAAAAAAAAAAGACACCAAAATCACTGACTGATTTATCTGTCTCTCGTGAGTTTAGAGAATCCACACTGAATGTCATATTGATATTGTGCCTTACTAATTACACAGTGCTTTCCATTCTTATTTGACCCAGGCGATGGCTCTGTGAAGTGTGAATAGCTGCCTTTAACATAAGTCTACTGCACATTAGGACCCTACAGACCAGAGAGCTGACATGAACCAGGTGTTACCTGGAAATCAGAATACAGCCTTCTTTCCTCCTCGTTTGGTCCTCAAGCATTTGTTTTTAACAACTGTAAGCCTATGTCTAAATCCAGTGAAAAGGAAAACACTCACTTCAGATAAAAGAACACAGATTACTGTCTTAGTTAGTCAGGGTTTCTATGGCTGTGAAGAGACACCAAGATATTCTTATAAAGGAAAACATTTAATTGGGGCTGGCTTACAGTTTCATAGAGTTAGTCTATTATCATCATGACGGGACATGATGGCGTGCAGGTAGACAGGGTGCTTGGGAGAGAACTGAGAGTACTACATCTGGATCCATAGGCACCAGGAAGAGACAATGAGCCACTAGGCCTGGCTTGAGCTTCTAAGACCTCAAAGCCCACTCCCTAGTGACAAACTTCCTCCAATAAGGCCACACTTACTCCAATAAGGCCTCACCACCTAATAGTGCCACTCCCTATGTGCCAACAGGGGTCATTTTATTCAAATCAAGTCACAATTACTGACTTGGTTAGCTGGTATAATCTGCCACAGGAAATGTCCATACGTTATTTACATTTCAAAAAAATTCAAAATAGCTAGGCCTTGTGGTGCATACCATAATTAATCACTGGGACAAGAAAACTAACAGGAAGTTAGAGGACAGTCTGGGTCTCCCTGTTTGCTTCAGCGGTCAGTTTGACACAGCACAGTTATCTGGGAGACACACTTGGAGGACTGTCTTCATCAGATTAGACCT